AAAGGCTATTCGAACAAGCGGAACGTCCTTAGGAGCCGCGGAAACACCTGATGAAAGGCAACACAGACTCATTGAGCAAGCTGAACGTCAATCTACTATAAGGGCATCTGTAAGACCAGAACAGACACAGGCGCAAAGAGATGCAAATGCACAGCTCCAAGCTGAACGTCGACAAAATTTTCAAAGAAACGCAGCATTCAATTATGATCCGTTGATTGATTATAAAAATCACAGGTTAGTTGTTATCGGACTGATGGACAAGGTGTGTCGATTTTACATCGCTTTAAAATGGAAAGATGAGACCGCAGGCATGTGCTGTTCCAATGGCAAAGTGTCTCTTCCGTTACTTGGGGAACCAGAAGTACCTTTGAAAACTCTCTTTTTATATGATGCTAACGAGTCACGGCGCTTTTTAAACAGGAACCGGAAATATAACTCATGCTTTCAAATGACGTCCTTCGGAGTTGACCGGGAAATAATAATGCCGGGATTTTGCCTACTACTCTATGATAAATTTGCCCTTGCACCGTAAATGTGCAAAGGCAAATTTATCATAGAATAGGTTCACTTTTTCCAGCTGAAAAGAAGTATATTTTAATGGGTGACGAAGCAATTGAGGTAGACCGTCGCTGCCAATTTATCCAGGGAGTTGAGAGAGACACGGTGTTCATTTCAAAGATTCTTGCATGAACGTAACATTTTAGTCAAAACATTTAAAACTGCTTTAGAAAACCTACCTGATAGGATTATAAAGTCGTCATTCACGTAGATTGGACCCCTCGAGGACAGCATGAAAGGCGCTACAATGCACCTTTGATAAACGAAATAGCAGCCATAATTAGTGGTGATCAATTTTCTTCACGAGACATTGTCTTGCTAGCACGTGATGATACGTTGCAACGGGTAGCCGCTACACACAAGTTTTATGACGCTCTGCAATACCCATTGATTTATTGCAAAGGACAAGAGGGTTATCATTTTCAAATTCCACTCATTAACCCGGTCACAAAGGAGCCTACTCCGAACAAAAAAGTATCATGTATGGATTTTTAATGTGGGCATTAAACATATTTATCATATGATGTTGCGAGAAAATGATTTTAACCTCTTAGCCCGGTGTAGACAATTATTTCATCAATTTTTGGTAGACATGTATGTGAAGGTAGAAAGTGAACGTCTCCGTTATATATCTTTAAATCAAAAAAAGCTGCGCGTTGAGAATTATATACATTTACAAGATGCAATTTCTAGCGACGCCAATGTAAACCCCCAGAAATTTAGGTAAAATGGTAATTCTGCCCTCATCATTCGTTAACAGTCCCCGCTACCTACATGAGTGTACTCATATATGTGTACTCATATACAAGACGCATTCGCCTATGTATGAACTTACGGAAGACCTGATCTTTTTATTACTTTTACTTGCAATCCCACATAGAAAGAAATAACCGAGAAGCTAATGCCGGGCCAAAAAAGTACTGACAGACACGATTTAGTTTCTAGAGTATTTAGATTAAAAGTACAAAAATTAATGTATGTAATTAACAAAGGGAAAATTTTCGGAGAGGTGCAGTGCTTCATGTATTCAATTGAATGGCAAAAAAAGAGGATTACTGCATGCCCACATTCTAATATGGCTTAAAGAGAAGTTGCGGCCCAGCCAAATAGATGACATAATAAGCGCCGAGATTCCGGATCCTGAGCAAGATAAAGAATTGTATGATACCATCGTCCGAAATATGATTCACGGTCCATGTGGAGCACGAAATTCAATATCGCCATGTATGAAAGAAGGAAAATGTACAAAGAAATTCCCTAAACAGCTATTAAAAGAAACAGTGCACAATGACAATGGCTACCCTTTATACAGACGCAGAGCTCCCGAAGATGGTGGCAGGAAAGTTACAATCAAATCTCGCTCTGGAGCGTTCGAAACCTTAGATAACATCTGTATTGTCCCGTATTCGCCCATTCTATGTAAAATGTTTAATGCCCACATTAATTTAGAAGCATGTAGCTCTGTCCGCGCAGTCAAGTATATCTGTAAGTACATAAATAAAGGAAGCGACCAAGCAATAATTAATCTCAGGAGTGAAGGTGAGGCAAATCCCGTTAATGAAGTACAGACCTTTCAAGCAGGGCGTTATGTCAGCAGTAACGAGGCAGCGTGGCGTCTCCTTGGCTTCCCTATACACGGCACCCAACAGTTACTCACCATGCTGTGCACTTAAAAACTGGAGAGCGTGTATATTTCACCGAAAGAAATTTCCAAGAAAGAATTGCATCACCGCCAAAAACTACACTAACAGCCTTCTTCCAACTTTGTAAAACCGACCCCTTTGCAAAAACTTTGTTATATTCTGAACTCCCCCGCTATTATACTTGGAACACATCTAGGAAGGAGTGGAAACGCCGTATTCAAGGCGCGCCTGTTGCAAATTGGCCCGGTGTAAAGTCATCAGATGCCCTTGGTCGTGTGTATACCGTCCATGTAACTAATTTTGAATGTTTCTGTTTACGATTGCTGCTGCACCATGTTCGGGGTCCTACAGGATATAAAGACCTTAAAACTGTCAACGGTCAGGAATGCCCAACTTATAGAGAAGCATGTGAAACTCTGCATCTTTTAGAAAACGATAAACACTGGGATGAAACCATGGAGGAAGCTGTGCAGTGCCAGTCACCAGCCAAAATTCATCTTGCGGGCTATCTAATGCACATGAATTGTGGGACAAATATAAAGAGTACATGGCGGAAGATATTTTGCGAAGGTTACAGCAGACATACGCGAACATGACATACAATGAACATATTTATTTATAATGAAGCACGTGGAAAAATTGAAGATAAAGTAATGGCAATGGTAGACAAAAAATTAAGCGACTTTGGAATGATAAGCCCTCAGCGAACAACCGAAAATGAATTAAGTGATGAAATTATACGTGAAACAAACTACGATATACCAGCTTTGCAGCAGCAAGTAGCCGAATTTGTACCCCGCTTGCTTCCCGAACAAAATCGAGTTTTTGACAAAGTATTAGGACAAATTGAATCTGGAAATGGTGCACTTTTCTTTTTAGATTCCCCTGGAGGAACTGGGAAGACATTTTTGTTAAATTTATTATTAGCGCAAGTACGGAAAGATAAAAACATTGCTGTGGCCGTAGCTTCCTCCGGTATAGCCGCCACGCTGCTAAGCGGTCGCCGCACATTCTGTTTTAAAACTCCCTCTAAATCTAGCCCAGGAAGAATCGCCGATCTGCAACTTTAGCAAAAATAGTGCACGAGGTATAATGCTACGACAATACAAACTTTTATTGTGGGACGAAAATACAATGTCGCATAAAAAAGATGTAGCAGCACTAAATCGAACGCTCCAGGATTTGCGCAGCAATACCGATGTAATGGGAGGAATAGTGGTTTTACTGGCTGGTGACTTTCGCCAAACTTTACCTGTCATTCAAAAGGGGCACACCTGCAGATGAAATTCAAGCATGCCTCAAGTCGTCTATTTTATGGAACAAGGTGACAAAATTCAGTTTAACTACGAATATGAGAGTTCATTTGTCAGCATAGTTTCCAGCATTGATATCATTATGATATGAATGCTGGAAACTATGCTGACACACTATTAAAAATTAGCGATGGGCGGTTGGAAACGGATGCTGAGGGCTGCGTTAAATTGACGAGAGTTTTTTGTAATTTAGTACAGAGTCATTCCGAATTAATTGCGAGCGTTTATTCAGATTTAACGAACAACAGGCATGAAGACAAATTGTTATGTGAAAGGGCGATTTTTGCACCAAAAAATGAGAGCGTTAACACAATAAATTCAGATATATTAAGCGAAGTAGCAGGAGAAGTAACAGAGTATTTGTCAGTAGACACAGTTATGGACACAGAACAGAGCACTTCATATCCCGTAGAGTTTCTAAATTCTCTAAAGTTGTCAGGTGTGCCCTCACATAAGCTTCAATTAAAATTAGGCGTCCCAGTCATGCTAATGCGAAATTTAGATGCTCCTCGGTTATGTAACGGGACAAGGCTGCGTGTCTTGGACGTCATCTTGGACGGAACATAATCGGTGCTACAATTTTGACAGGCGTAGGAAAAGGTGAAAATGTTATTATACCACGGATCCCTATAATTCCCACAGATCTTCCTTTTCAATTCAAAAGGTTGCAGTTCCCTATGCTCAGTTTTGCAATGACAATTAATAAAGCGCAAGGGCAAACGTTACAGGTAGCGGGGGTCAACTTAGAAAAACCGTGCTTCTCTCATGGTCAGCTGTATGTAGCATGTTCGCGTGTGTCAAATGCCCAGAATCTCCACTTTCTTTCCCTGAATGGAAAAACATATAACATTGTGTACAGTAGCGTCTTAAAATGGTGTTCAGTTAGTTTCTTTTTCCAAAATTCCCACAATCAATTAATCAGAATTCCCACAGATCTTCCCTTTCAATTCAAAATTTCCTATTTAGCTCAGTTTCTTTTCAATGCCAAATGCTGCACCTCTGACGGACCTATTAAGCTCAGTTTCCTTTCAACTCAAAAGGCTACATCTCTGACGGATCTTTTATTTGGCTCAGTTCCCTTTCAATTCAGAAAACTGCATCTCTGACGAATCAATTTAGCTCAGTTTCTTTTCGAAAGTCTGCATCCCTGAATGATAAATATGCTCAGTTTCCTTTAATTAAAAAAATATCCCATTTCCATTTGGAATAAACAGGCTATTTTTATGCTTTCCTATACGCTGCGTTTCAAAACATTTAAATAGGCTGACGAATCAATTTTGCTCAGTTTCCTTTTAATGGCTGCATCTCTGACAAATCTATAAAATTCAGTTTTCTTTCAATTCAAAAAGCAATGGATAGTTCATTTCCCAGTGACCATGCGGGCGAAGCCGCGGGTAACAGCTAGTTGAAAATAAATGTAGATGTCTATGAGCAACAGCCCCTGAAATAAAAATGATGGTATTTGCATTGTGTTGTGGGCGTGCAGGGACCGGCGCGACGGTATGTCGCGCGAGGGCTCGGGACGCGTGGCGGTGTTGAAGGCCACGGGGCTGGTGCGCTCGTATACGCTCGAGTGCAACTACAACACGGGCCGCCTCGTCAACGTGCTGCCGCCGCCCGTGCGCGCGCCGCCACCACCGCCACCCGCGCTGCCCCCGCCGCACTCGCCCCACACGCCGCACCCGCCCAAGTACACGCCGCACATATTTGAAGAGGTACGTACTCGACACCCATATTACAAGACAATTTAGTTTGTGCTTTTGTGCGTTTTGTGTCTCGCATCGACTAATTATACTATGGTCATGTGAGCTAATATAACTAGATTAATAAAATGTGTGGCATATTTAATGTCTGTTTTATTATTTTTTTATTATTATTTCATCTCTTGGATGTGTTCAAAGCACTTAACGACATTGAAGTGAGAGAAGCGTCTGTTGGTCCTTCGAGCCTGATATGAAGCAGGGACTTAATGAGGGAGTCCGTTTCTACACAAAAAATTAGTGTGTTGGAGTAAGAGATACTCTAATTCTTAACGCTACTGCGAGTTTCAATATCTTTCGTTCTCGATGTTGCAGGACTAAATAAATAACTAATTTTATAAATTTAGTATAATTTTCAACTAAAAGGTACAATATGTTGTGTAAATTAAAAAATTATCTCATTTTACCGCTCAAAAACAGTTGAGGCAAACCCTGCCTACGAGGAAAACTCATGTCCAATTGTGGCCTTTATGGGCTGATGATGTTGATCATGACGTAGCAACGGTTTTTACCTTTGAACTCGCGTTTTGCACATTTCGACAACTACGAGACTATAACAAACATTTAGTTTATTATCAAGCTAACAAAAATTTATAATCTTGTCATTGTATCAAACAACAGTAATGTGGCTCAAAATAAATAAACAATATATTTTATTGTTTATTTATTTTGAGCTTGTTTATTTATTTTATTGCTATTGTTTATTTATTTTATTTTAATTTTTTATTATTGTTTTATTCTGTTTTATTTTATAATGCAATAATTAAAAACAACACTATATTAAGGAAACTGAAAAACGAATCGTTACTCAATTGAGTGCTACTAAAATAGTTTAATTATAAGTTATTAAAAACCTTTACAAATCTAATAAAGCGCGAGCGCGCGCAGCGCGGCGTGTGCCTACAAGATTGAACTCGTTCATTTCGTCCTAACTCGTCCGACGTTGAGGTACTCTCATGTCTATATAGATATGGAGTGGTCTAATGAGACGATTGATGAATTTTTGATTTTAACGATGTCATCCACCAGCGCCTTTTCTTCTTCTTTCTGTTAATTTCATTAATTAAAAGATATTTACAATATAAGACAAAAGCGGCTGAAGCAACAGCGATGCCTTCTTCTTCAATGGCATTGATCCATGGCTGGAGGTGGCAATTGCACTCACACGACACCAGGTGCGCTGCGCTCAACAGACTGAGTCAGTGGCTCGGAGTTTGGACAAGCACGCGCCGAGCCGCGCCAGTTAAAACGGGTGACGCGGGCTCGCGAGTAGCGCGTGCTTGCGCGTACAAATAAACACACACGCGAGAAGCCGCCATTATGTGTAATAAATACTAATAGTGAGTCAACTCCTTTGTTATACCGCAAAGTACCTACGAGGCTGTCTTATGCAAGAGTTGTCAAAAAACATTTCCTTAGATGATAATACCATAAGATTATATGTTGTCTGTGTATTACTCGTATTAATTTATTTTTCTGTATAAATATACAAACTAATTAAAAGATTCGTCGTGATGGAAACAAAGGTTTGTGCTTGTGAAGGTAGGTACTGATAGTTGTGACACTCCTAAACGGACGTACCGGAACGTTCGTACTCAAACGCAAACGAAGCTGACCGATACTACCGCAGACGTTGCGGTCAGGGCTCCACTCTCTTCTCCATTTTGCACCCCATCGTTGCCCAGTCTAGTCGCCGAGTTGACCCACTATTAGTATTTATTATACATATGTTATGTTATTATGTTAGAATATTTCAAGATTTTTCCAAAGCTAATTTCATAAGTGGTCAACGTTTCAGGTAAGACACAGCCGCGGTAGGAATCTGGAGGTTTTCAAAGAGATAGACCCAATGAAGGTTTGTTCTCACTCACGTATGACTCGTTGCTAACTCATGTGTCGATACCTCACGTAGTTTGCTGTCACTTAAGTTCATACAACTTGTCTGCTATAACACACACGTAGTTTTGGGTATTTATTAGATTTTTAGTTTGTTTTCGTTAGTCTCTTTTAAAATCTCCAGACAATGTAGTCACTGCGGCTTAGTTAAGCACTTTGTGTAAATAGCCTACTCAAATTTATGCCCTACATTATCAAACAGACCTATATGAACATAAAGTATTTGACTTTTTATAGGTAATATTTTTGGTAAAATTGGAATAACTTATTTCTTGTGCCATACAAGAAAACTATTAATTACGAATTTATTATATATATATATATATATATATATATATATATATATATATATATATATATATACAATATGTGACAATAACCCTGTGGTTCCCGTTAAGTGCGTTATCAGAATCAGTATTCAAACTTTACTTCAGAAAACTCGACATAAAAATAATCAAATTAAATTTTAATTAAATATTATTTGTAAATTTTATGTGGATTGATTACCTCTGTCTGGAATTATCGACAGCGGCGGGTGGCGGCTGGCGGTGACGTACATCAAAGACGGGGCGCGCGCGCGCGCGTCTTACCTACACTAACTGCACACTGAGGTTGTGACCTCGTCACATCACAGCTGTTATAGTGAAACACTAATTTATCACTATGTCTACTTGACGACCACGAAGATGTTGTTCAATATGTCCAGCTTGCACCTCTATACATTTGTGACACCGACTTGTAATGTCTGAACGCACGCGTTACATAACAGACATTTCGGACTTTATTTTTTCAAAGGCTGCGACTATACACATACGCATTTCTGCCTCGGTATCGCATGTTTTTTTGGAATACAGTCTGCTTAATCGTACCCCAGAGATAAAAATCTAAAGGTGTGAGATCAGGTGATCGTGCCGGCCAGTTGACCGGTCCACCGCGGCCAATCCATCTTTCACCGAATTCAGTATCCAAAAAACTTCTTACACAACGGGAGAAATGCGGTGGAGCACCATCGTGTTGAAACCACATGCGACGAACGAGGTCTAAATTTATTTCGTCAAGTTCATTGCTTAGTTCTTCTCGCAAAAAACGTCCCTCATATGGATAAAGTCGATGCCATTTTTGAAAAAGTTGAGCAAGATCGGCGTATTCGTAGGTACGATATAGCCGACGAATTGAGGATTGACCACAAAACAGTTTTGACCCATTTGAAAGTCTGGCTATACAAAAAAACTCGATATTTGTGTACCATACGAGCTCACTGAAAGAAACCTAATAAATCGTATACTCATTTGCGATTCTCTTTTGAAACGTAATGAAACCGAACCACTGGGATGAAAAGTGTTAAAGTATTACCTACGATAAGAACGTGTGAAAAAGATCATGGTCAAATGGTAGTCAAGCTCTACAGAATGTCGCTACATTCTGCAACCAGGATTACCTGTGACCTTATCATAGAATACTATAATACATAAATAAGAGAGGGGGAGTGGCTGGAGCCCGTGTAGCAGAGATTACCCCCTAATAGATGCCGCATCAACGAATATTTGTTCTGTTTCGACTTCACCAAATTTTGTGTCACGCATGAGTTGCAGGGGACGTATCAAATGCGCTGTGATTGGATATTTCAAGGTTGCACTTAGAATGGACCGAACCGTAGTGATGGGACAGGCTTGGGACATTGATCGATAAATTTGCGATTTATTTATTATTGATAAGTAAATAAGTTGATCGATTTTTATTTGAAATTATTAAAAAATAATATGTATATATATATATATATATATATATATATATATATATATATATATATATATATATATATATATATATATATATAACAACAATCACAATCTAATAGGTTCTTAAATTTACGCGAACACTAAACATTGAATAAAACTATATATACAGATTGTATCGCGTTTAATTAACTTATTTTTAATCCCCGACGTTTAGGGTGCTAAAGGAAAGCTAATCAATTATTTGCCTCTAACTCCACTGTGAATTTATGGACTTCAGGTGATCTAAAAATGCAGTTGCTTGTCAGATTCTAAAATTTTGAAAGTGTTGTGTACTTACCGCTTGTAGAATCTTGGGTTTACAGGAGCAGTAAGAGGGGTTTTCTCCTCAAAGTCCTCCATGAATATGTTGGTGACTATGGGAGATACAGGTGAGCCCATCTACTTGCTTGTCTCTTCCTTGAACAATAGATAGCCAGATGTGAAGCAGTGTTTGAGTAATACTGCATATTCTGCAGGCATGTTGTTATCTTCTAGCTTCCTAGTTACAATTAAGATGCAGTCTTCAATAGGCAGGCATGTAAATAGTGACTTAACATCAAAACTGACCATAGTTTGATTGTCAGTGAGATGTAGGTCTTTTATTTCCCTAACGAAATGGTATAAATCCTTTGTGTGTGCTCTGGTATGTCCTCTCGGTGGTGACAGTATTTTTGCCAAGTGTTGTGCTATCTTATAAGTCAGTGAATCGATCTGGATCATTATGGGACGTAGTGGAGCGTTTGGTTTGTGTATCTTCGGAAACTTAACTTTAAATATATATTTCACTGATTTTTAAAATGGATGAGCTTAGTATAAAATTATCTCACAGAATTTTTAGGATCTGTTTTCCTGGATAAGTAAAGTAATCTTACGTCTATGTAATTTTCCATTACACTCTTAGCTAAATCAATGACATGATTACAACTTTCGTGATCAAATTGGTGATTTTTTATTTCAGGAAAGATATCCTCATTAACAAAACTTCTTAATGTTTGTGTTACAAGACGGAATTTGTCTTTGTAATATATTTTAGAACCTTGATATGAATCGATTGAGCTTCGAATGACTTGTTCAGATCGTCTGCAAATTTTGGTGACCATATTGGACGGGAACAGTAGTCCTCCTGCATCTCTTGCGTATTATAATAATCTTGCGTATATATTAGCAGCGTCTTTCAGCGGTGTATCACCAATCTAAAATACGTATTCGTTTATTTTAGAATATTACCAATAATTATTTAGAAACTTATAATGCATTTTTTTATTCATTTATACAAGTTATAAACATATCATTAATTCTTATTATAATCATACCGCTTTTTTAAACGATGTGCCGGCCACAGGAATTTCCGTATTTTAGCTGCAATATCTGCACCTGCACTTATGGTAGGGACGGGTGCCTAAAAGTAGTATTATTAATTACTAAACGGTACATCTTTCAAATTTAGATGTACTTAATAATAATAGGATATTGCTGAAGTTCATGTAACACTAGAATAGCAAGTCAAAACAATAATAACATTATAACTTTCACTTATTTTATGATTTATAAATCCGTTAAAAATAGTTTAATTTCGATGTGTATCATTCGCCTAAATATTAGAATATTACGTTACAATCAACCACTTAATGCTATTACTTATTGTGTAATTTACATTGGTACTAAAATAAAATAAAAAAGCATACTAAAACTGACAAGTATAGAGATGGTATAGCGGAATACAACAGCCTTCTACGGTTTTTCATTCGATGAAGATTGTCTTCCGTGATGTGTCTTGAGCATATCACACTATTTTTGGTGCGGAAACCATTGATCCCCTCGACAAGTTGCGTCGATCCGCATCTTTTTCCTTTCTGGGCATTTAGGAAACCTATAACATATAGGTACCACATACATTATACGTCACTATTTTTATACAATAATGACTACAAAAAAAATGTGAACGATGACCAAACAAATATCGACTTATAAATCACAACACTATCGTTACACGTGCCGTCGTTAGACAAAGACAACTATTTTAATTTACATAATGAGTGAAAGAGACATTTTAAAAAGACATCAACGGGTGCTTAATTGTTATCACTTTGCACCATAATTTTACCAGTATAAGTTGAACTCCGGTGCAGTTGAAATAAGTTAACGTAATAAGAATAAAATTTACTTACCGATGAAATGTTATGCCATCTTTTTGATAACTGGATGTCTTAGCTGACTTGCCACACCATTTCACTGCACAGGAAGCCATTTGTAATGTATTTTTGATACGAAACTATTTTTAAATTGTTAAAAACTCGGAGGCGTCTACGGGTCACAATCTTGGTCAACAATGATATCGTGATTCATAGCGTCACTTCATATGCTAGCTACAGCAAGCATGTGTTGCGCGCGTTTGTGGCCCTGTATGCGGAATCTATTAGGAGGTAATCTGTGCCGTGTAGCCACTAAAATGCCACTAACACGTCAATTCACACTTATAAATATCGACACGAGATGTGTTTTGACGTTACAATCGTTTCCAAATTTCGCATGCAAATTATTTAGAAAATGCCAAATTGCACGCTATTTACAAATAAATATGTATTAAAATCCGTCTGTCAACACAGCGAATCGGGTTTGTAGTAGTGATTAACTGATAATACGACGTAATTGCTTGTATGTGTGCTCCCGGCGACGCCTATCCTAGTACAAAATATGTTTGACAGCCATTCTATTGTGTATTATAGTATTCCATGGACCTTATTAACACAGAATAAGGTGATGTCGTGTATATTGGAAGAGCATCGTTTATTATGAGCTTTTACTGCTGGACAAAACTATCGATTTGGATTTATACTGCTAACAACTAATGAGACTCATGCAAGAAATTGAGAAAAAACCGGCCGGAATTTATCAACAGAAAAGGAATGGTCTTTCATCATGATAACGCCAGACCACACACATCTTTGGCCACTCAGCAAAATTTGAGAAAGTTTGGTTGCGAAGTGTTAATGCATCCACCATAATATAGTCCTTACCTTGCACCCTCATATTTTTATTTTTTCGGTCTCTTCAGAATTCTTTGGGTAGAGTTAGGTTAACATCAAGAGAAGGCTGTCAAAACTACTTGTTGCATTGTTTTGATCAAAAATCCCAAGATTTCTTCAGCAACGAGATTATGTCAACCACCTACAAGATGGCAATAAGCTATCGAACAAAATGGCACATATATATTTTAATTAAATGTAAATAAACTTTGAACAAAAATTGCTTAAATTTGTAAGTATATAAATTACGAAGAAACTTTTCCCCGACCTTATACTTCATGAATTTAATTATCAGATTTTCTCCTGGCCAAACTCCATTACCATAACTTCTTCCGGCTAAGTTGTTACGTTTATACTACGAGCACTTATAGGGTTAAGTGCTCGTAGCGTTTATATGATAATATCGTAGGTGACTAGAATATAGTGTCAGATACACAAGGACATACACAACGCGTTCTGTATTTATCCTAACATGTGTTTTTAAATTGTTTTAATTGCGTAAAAAATATATGGTCATGTGTTTCAATATGTTGGCGTCTAGGCGCAGGCTTCTCCTGCCTCATGCTTCATATAAACCTTATAGCAAGGTTTAGACGATATCTGATTCCCGATATTCCCGATATTTGTGGAAGCCATTAACGCTGACGCCAGTCCTCAGACAAACCAGCGCTGGCCTGACCCGTGTTGTTTAGATGAGGCCAAATTGATTCATTTCATTCATAAATTATTCTTGTAAATTGTTGTATTAAAATATGGGTTATTTTTTAACTGAAAAATAATGTTTATCATATACCTACATAAATCAAATAAAGGAATTTGTACAATATTACTAGTAAAATTTTTATATTACAAATTATTTATTTTGGTGCGAGGGTTGCGGGGCACGCGGGCGGAGGTCACTGGCATGAAAAATAGGCAGGCACTCTATTCCCGCCAATGCTAGCAGCCAGCGCTTGCTTGTCGTGAAAAACTGTTTATACGAGGCCTGCGCTAGCTGCCAGTGAAACTGGCAACCAGCACTGGCTTCGTCTAGACTTTGCTTTTAGCATTATTTTCGGCAAAATCATTAGTTATTAAATGAAGTAAGTAAATTTTGGTAAATCCAAATGTGCATGCCTTAAGCTCTCATGTTATACGTCAATTTTTTAAGGTATTTTAAATATTTCACAAACAACCTTATTACTATCACTTCTAAAGCAAGGTTTAGATGTAGCCAGTAACGCTGGCGCCAGTGCTTAGACAAGCCAGCGCTAGCCTGGCCCGTGTTGTTTAGATGAGGCCAAATGGATTCATTTCATTCCTGGATTATACTTGTAAATCGCTGTATTAAATAAATGATTTTTTAAACTTTAACTGAAAAATATTGTTTAATATATATATATATATATATATATATATATATATATATATATATATATATATGAAATATAGGAATTTGTACTATATCACTTTTAAAATTTTTATATTACAAACTGTTTATTCCGGCGCGGGGGTTGCGGGGCACGCGGGTGATGGTCACTGGCTGAAAATGATGAAAAATAGGCAGGCGCTCTATTCCCGCCAGTACTGGCATCCAGCGCTGGCCTTTCGTGGAAAACCGTTTATACGGAAAACGGTCAATAACAAGCCAGCGCTGGCTGCCAGTTTTACTGGCTTCATCTAAACCTTGCTTAATTTTCCGATAATTTTATGATAATCGTCAATAAAAAGTTTTTAAAATCCAAAAGTACACGACTCATAATGGTCATATGATCATGAAAAAATGTTGAAAACAAATTCTCAGTCAACAATAGAAAATATATTTTTTAATTATACTATGTTATTGTTATTGAGGTTCAGAAAAAAGAATTATTATTGTTAATTGTAAAAAAAAACTTTAACATAATTATCTGAAAGCGATCAGAAATAAACTTTAAAATTACTTTAATTGTTAGATATTTGTACTCAGGCATTATCTTTAAAACTAGTCTTTTTTACCTGACTCGTTAATAAAAAAAAATCTCATCAACTTTATTTCGTTTTCTAAGTTTTTCATCTAGTAAAAAACCAATATTTTAATTTAGTATTCACAAAAGTACACTTTCAGGCCACTCCATAAAGCCAAGACGTTTATGGATATTTATATATAAATCCTACGTACTTTTAGCGAAACAATATGTTGTAATGAAAATCTATGACTATAAAAATAATAATAATATCTAACTTTGGTCAAGTATGTATCAAATTTGGTTTTGGAATATTTTGTTTTTTTACGGCGATCGATGTTTTTCATCACGAGCCGCTGTAAACTAACGATACAGACACTGACTCACTGCGGGCTCGGCCGCCGTCGTGAGTGGGTTAATCTGTAAATAGTAAAATAAATATTATTACAAAGCTCATGCAACACCAAACATTGCGATATTTAAATGAAATTAAACGGCCATTTTTATTCCGTGGGAAGCTACGGAATAATAATGGCCGTTTAATTTAATTTACATTTACATGTTAATTTACATTTACATGATAGACGAATAGATTAAAAAATAGATTGAGTTGAACAATTGATATTTTCAAAAGTTATCGTGTTTACCCCAATGCGGGCGTTATAAATCTACACCATAAGCCACTAAAACCACTTTTTAATGTAAAAATAATAATAAGTTTAACAGTCATTTATCTTTCTGACAATCAGTGGCGAAGCCTCCATAGATGCCGAAAAGCCAGGCTTGCCTTTTCAATCTGCTCAATCAATAATATCAACTAATAAAATAAAACAACTCGTAAACTGTTTCAAACATTTTCGAATTTCTAAGCAGGTCATGACCTCGTAGCATATATGTAACGTCAACACTTGGCAGTTTGCTTTCAATTCGAAATACACTGATTCGTGTTCTCTTTGTCTCAAAGCAAGCTAGCTCTTTGTCTCAAGATCCAGATTCGAACTCTGATACTCATGATTAGCAGCTGCGCATACTACTAGAACAACGAAGCAGTCGGTAGAATTTAATTTTAATGAGACTTTCTACAGTGTATGTGAGTTCGCAGGTTGGTCGGTCGCTAGGCGCATCGATCCTGGACATGACGGGGCAGCATCCCAACTCACGCATCCCGTGTTCCGAGCACCGCACGCTCGCCGCGCTGCGCGACTGGCTGCGCACGCACACGCGCACCATGAGGCCGCAGGTACAACACACACACAGACACACACACATACACACACAGAGGCGTGCGCGCGTGCACACACTACAATACACCCGTACACCGCGACCGCAGGTTACACGCACACGCGCACCATGAGACCGCAGGTACACACTCATGCACTCAATAAACCCGTACACTGCGAGAACGCAGGTTACACACACATGCACAACAGTGGTAGAGACACGCGGCAGCTTTTGCTGCTGCACGCGTTGACCTGCTTGAGCCGCGGTGGTGCCACGACTTCACAGAAAACACGTTATCCGTGAATTTCTGCAATATCAGGGGACTTCACTCGAACCTCTGTTCCCGACGCTTCGGCAGTCTTGAAGGTACACGCACCTGTCCATCCTTTGGCTATGCGTAGACAGCGACGACCATCCACGCGTCTTCGGGTGCCTCTGTAGGTCCCATAGCTGTAATGCCGAAACAGACCGACTAACCGACCAAGTCCAAATGGCTACAGATTCCTTGCTACAGCTGATCCCTTCCGCAGAGATGGTGATCCTCGGCGATTTAAATGCCCACAACGCCGAATAGCTTGGTTTACGTTTAACCGATCATGCGGGGAGATCTGTTCATGATTTTGCCTTGGCATAATATTGTTAAGCGCTCAAGTCGACGATACACTAGCGCCATCTAGTGTCAGGAACGAGAGCGAGGGGAGCATTGAGAAAATGACATCACAAATCACTCAACCGACAGCGCCATCCGAAGAACTAAGTTTCTAGAAAATCTACACTCGCACACTCGTCCCTTTGCGCGCATTTACTTGAATATTCCGGATGCTTCTTTGCTAATTTAAATAAATAGGCGCTGCAAGATGAGATCGCAGGCAGTATTGGAATTGGCGACACAAGCGAAGCTTCGGAGCGGAATAAAGTGAATTAGTGTGTTTAATTATTAGTGTTTTAAGTTGTGTAAAGTAAATTAAAGTGTTAATTTAGGTAATTTTATCGGCAATTTTTATTGTCACGAACCTCAAGCTCGTAACAATATGGTATAACACAACTAGTTACTTCGCCTACGCAGATTCCAGATGTGGAGGATCATCCACTTTCTCTATTGAACCTTCTGCTGACCTCTCATCCGGAGTCCGGACAAATATCAGGTCTCCGTCGAGCCCCTCTTAGCTCTTCAGACCACTGCATGGTCCGGAGTGTGGTGCCACTCACGCTGAAATTTTTGAGCTGAGGTTTTGATAACGGGCATTGGTGTGGTTTAAGAGTTATCTCAATAATCGTCTACAACAAGTTATAATTAACAGGATGATGGCGAAAGCTATGTTTCCCAACTTCTTCCTGTCAATGAAGGTGTCCCTCAAGGATCTATTTTGGGCCCTTTGCTTTTTATCATTTATAGTTTCGATATAACAGCATGTATTGAAAATTGCAAATACCATATTTATGCTGATGACCTACAGGTAGTAAATACAGCGGTAGATAAGTTAAATGAGGATCTTCAACGCATTAGTTCTTGGTCACAAAATAACTCCATGCTCCTTAATCCTACAAAATCTAAGTTTATTATTATAGGTACTAAAAAGCAGGTAAAGGACATAACTTCTACTGATCCTAACGTACGTATTGATGGTGAAAACATTGAACGAGTTTTTGAAGTACGAAATCTTGGGGTTCTTATGGATAGTTATTTAAAGTTTGAAAATCATGTAATTAATGTCGTAAAAAGTTGTTTTTTCCGATTGAAAGTTTTATATTCAATCAGGCAGTTTATCACTGTAGACTTACTCGTTAAACCATGTGAAACCTTAGTTCTGTCTAAACTAAATTATTGTATAACTTTGTATGGACCTTGTCTATTTAAAAAATCAAAAAATTTAATTCAAAGGGTACAAAATGCTTGCGCTCGTTACTGTTTTTATATCCCAAAACGAACACATGTTACACCTTACCTTAATGCTTAAAATGCGGAACGTCTCAAATTATTTTATGCCTCCCTGCTATTTGGAGTGATAAAAACAAAGAAACCAGAATACCTATATGAAAAGCTTCAGTGGAGACAAAATCAACATATGTACGGTATCCGAAAGTGTGCAAAAGTACTTTGCATACCTCAACATAGGACATCAGCATTTCGTGGTAGTTACAAATTTATGGTAAGTACGCAGAAAATGTCATATTTTAAAAAAAATTCGGCAGGGGCTGAATATCCTATATTTAGTTATATGCAATTATGTAACTTACATTTACTACCAATATTCTTTTTAATAACCATTACGTTGTTCTAGCATAATTATTACAATTAGTCTGAATAAATAAAACACTACTGTAGCTCTTATTTTTAATATTATTTTATTTTCATGTTTTTGTTTATATTTCGTTTATATTTTGTTTATATTATGTTTATCTCTTGTACATGTATATTAATTATCAATTTATTAAAAGAAATGAAAACTTGTACTGGTTAATTATATAGTTCTTGTACTGGCTGAATGAATAAATAAATAATTTAACACTAAAAGCTATTTGTAATATAATCAGTGATGTACGCGTACTATTATACTTTAGCTCACTAAGTAGGTATATGGGTGCTGACTGAATAACAGCGTTATAGATTCTCTGCAACACATGCTGAGTTAGAACCCTTTCATTGTCCTTCTAAAAATATCATTTTTGTATTAGTTTAACTTTTAAATATTTTATTACTTTTGGTCAATGAATAAATATTTTATTATTATTATATTGGGAGGTATCTATATAGTTTTCTCATCTGGTTGGGATCTATAAATATATAATTATAAATGAAAATGAAAAGATAAATATACATAAATATCAATAAAATAAAATAAATACAAAAATACATAAATAAATAAAAGTCCAACCAGATGGAAGCCCTCGGCAGGGGAGACCAAACGGCCGAGGGTTAGGGGGAAAGGGAAAGAAACCGGCGGACGATGCGGGCAGTATCAAGGAGCACCGCCTTCTGCATTTGAGCCCGGAGCGGTCCGTCACGGAGTCCCAATCGCCTCAGATGGCCCGAGAGGCTAGCTGGGATTAACCCGTTTGCAGACACGACTACAGGAATAATTTCGGTCGGCAGACCACCCCACATGTCGGTCACCTCGTGAGCCAGGTCCAGATATTTGATTGCTTGTCTGTTTCGGCTTTCACGAGGTTCTCGTCATACGGAATGGTAATGTCGACCAAAAGTATCCTTGACTGTGCCCGATCCATCAGCACAATATCAGGCTTATTCGCAAGAATAGTCCTGTCCGTGATGATGGCCCGGTCCCAGTAGAGCCTGGCGCGATCATTTTCGAGCACGGCTTCCGGCAGGTAATACGGCACTTTCCGGTCCACGAGATCGTATTTCAGAGCGAGCTCCTGGTGCAGAATTCTGGCTTCTAGGTTGTGCCTGTGCAAGTACTCAGAGTTAGAAAGCGCCGAACAACTGGAGATGATATGCCTAAATGACTCACCGGGATGGCGACAAGCTCGACAAATGTCGATGGTGCCATCTTTTAGGATGTATCTCCGATAGTTGTTGGTCTTAATAACGTGATCCTGTGTTGCACAGACAAAACCCTCGGTTTCCCCGAAGAGGTCACCGAAACGTAGCCAGTTAAGGGAGGCGACTGTATCTACGAAGGGCTCATGTAGAGCCCTGTAGTACCTCCCGTGGAGCTCCTTCGCGTTCCATACGGTCTCCCGGTCGGAAATGCTAAGCACTGCTGGCTCCTGCCATTGCTCGTTGGCTAAGGATAGAGGGGTAAGCCCTTTATCACTAGAAATGACGTCATTATAGAATGGATCATCCGATCTCGCCAGGAAGTAATCACGGAGGCTGCACAATTCGCGATTATGCATGGTGAGCGCGCGCAGAAAATCACGCCCACCATGCTTTCGCGGCAAGTACAGCCTCATTACCGACGATCTCGGATGATGCATCCTATGGGACGTCATGGTAGTGCGGACTTTTCTATCCAGGGCGTTAAGTTCAGTCTGGGTCCACTTGAGTATGCCAAAGGTATACATGAGGACAGGCATGACCCAACCGTTATATGCATGTGTCTTATTCACACCGGACAAAAGGCTGTTAATCACTTTGGTCAAGCGTCCATAAAACACGTCGCAAACTGACTGTTTCATACCAGCCTCATCGATACAGATGTTCTGTGACATACCCAGGTATCGGTATGTTTCAGCCTCGGAAAGGGTCCTTAAGTTGATGGGCATAGATAAATCTATGCCCTCAGAGTTAGCAACCCTTCCCCTTTCAACATGCAGGACCGCACACTTATCCGTTCCCAGCTCCATTCCAATAGAATTGCTAAATTCACAAGTGATGTTTAGCAATTCCATAAGATGGGAGCGACTGGAGGCGAATAACTTGAGGTCATCCATATAGAAAAGGTGGGTCACTTTTGTACCTCCTTTTCGAAGCTGAAATCCCCCTCCCGTAGCCCTCTAGTAAAGTACTGAGAGGGTTCAGAGAGAGGCAAAACCAGATTGGACTCAGACAATCGCCCTGGAAGATACCCCTTCTTATCCTTATGTGGTTCTCCGCAGCCATCATCCGCTCGCCCAGATAGCAAAGGATCGTACTCCATTGCCCCATACACTGCTCGAGGAAGTTTCCAACTGTACAGTCAATTTTGTACAGTTGGAGGACTCTCTTTAGCCATGTATGGGGCACCGAGTCGAATGCCTTTCTGTAGTCTATCCAGGCGGCAGAGAAATTCCGACGGTTGCGTTTCACCACTTTGCCAATGACCGCGTCAATGAGGAGTGGTTCCTTGGTTCCACGACCACCACCCCGACATCCATTTTGAGCGCGTGACATCACCTGATTTAGCTCCAGGTGACGAGTGATTCTCGCGCTCAAAATGGATGTCAGTGTCTTATATATGGTGGGTAGACACGTGATGGGGCGGTATTTGCTCGGGTCTGTGGTATCCTGATCTTTAGGAACCAAATGAGTTCTCCCAGTAGTGAAGAGGCTCGGGAGCGACTTCTGATCGAGAGCCTCTTGAAACTGTCGGGCGAGCACAGCGTGACACACTACGAACCCCTTTAGCCAGTAATGATGCAGCCCGTCGAGCTGGAAAAGTCCGGAGCCCCACGGACCGCCTCAGACACGTCTTCAGGCGTTATGGTGACGGGGTCCATAGGCGTAACACTTGCACTCTGGCTCGCCACAACTTCCATCCAAGGGCCCTCGCTGTGGTTTACGGGCTCTGACCACAGGCCACGCCAAAATGCGACAGTGTCAGTCTGATCCAGTCCTGGGCCCGCTCCACATACCTCTGGTCGCTCCAATAATTTATAGAGCCTCTTCTGATCACTTTGGAAGAGACGATTCTGGTTGAACCGTCTTGACCTCTCGCTAAATCGTCGAATCCACTTCCCCCAAGCAGCGATTTTTTGCTTCAGGTCATCTATGCGCTCCGTTAGTTTCTGCGTGATATCCGGCTGGGACAAACTAATATTTGTCCCAGCAAATGCCATTCTAACGATGCGCACAACTCTCGGTCTATTATTACCCGACCTGAAGCTTGTCAGTCTGCCGATAAGGGCCCTTGCCTTTGCGATACGGTCCTCAATTCTTTTTCTCCAGGCTGGGATGGCGCTACTTTTTTGAGTAGCACGTCCAGCCACGGGAAGTTTGGCGCCAATAATACGACATACTGCTAGTGCGGCGCCAAAAAGAATTGAGTCCGTCTCGCAAAGGTCCTGGCTGGCTTCCAAATAGGTCACCAGCATTGGGTTAAAAGCCCGCACGACAGCCTGATTTCGCTTGCTAAGGGGTATGCGGGAATGTCGCGGTCGATTTTCGAGAGGCATGCTGCGCATTTCCAGCATCGACTCTTCCAATATGCTCTTCATTTTCTCTAGTTCGTGGGAGACTATTCCATCATCGTCTGAATTAGCCACAAATGGAATATTGACGGCAGCATCCACATATGCAGTTTGTTGCGCATCTAGTGGCGCCGCATTCCCAGCCGTAGCATTTCCATTCGATGAAGGAATAGCCTCACGTCGTAGACCCAGCCGACACCAAGCCTTCTGGTGGGGATGATGGATGCGGGGGGCTGCTAGGTGGTCTTGCAACACCCCGCGCTCGGCTGGCGGCCCGCATGCTGTCGCGTCCAGCGCCAGCTCCAGACGCGCTCTGGCGACCTCCAGGCAGCGGTCCTTTGCGCACTATATTTTTTTCCATCATCCATAATTTGGGCGTCCATTAACGGGAGACGCCCAGGCCCGGCACCGTATCGTGGATGGCCATAAGCACAAACGGGCCTTTGCACCCTAAATTATGCCGAGGCACGGCGCTCACACCTCTCGCAAGGCGCTGACTGACTGCGTTGACGTAGCAGTTTTGTCACTTAACTGTTACGTCAGCGGGCGATGGGGTCATCAATTCCCTACGCCATTTTATTATTATTTTTATTATTATTATTAAATCGCGTTGACACCGAAAAAAAGAGTTGGCACCGGTTCTAACGCGTCTTTTCCGATACTCCTACTCCCTAGGCTTAGTCCCGAAATCATGCAAGACGGCTTTCGTCCACCCGATCAAATTCCCCGCTCAAATCCGTCTAACTACAGGCCTATCGCCATCACCTCCTTGTTCTCCAAAATAATGGAATCCTTTATAAACTGCCAGCACATGCGGTACCTTGAGGATCACTAGCTGATTAATGACCGCTAATACGGTTTTCATCGGCGTCGATCAACTGGTGATCTTCTGGTCTACTTGACTCACAAATGGGCGAAGGTAGTAGAATTCAAGGTGGAGGCCGCTAGTTTAGACATTGCGAAGACCTTCGATCGGGTTTGGTTCAAAGCGCTTCTTTCGAAGCTGCTTTCCTATGGGCTTCCCGAGAATTGTGCAATAGGATCACCAGTTTTCTTGCAGATCGGAGCATCAAGGTCGTTGTAGACGGTGCATGCTCCAATTACAGACATGCCTATTAGTGCTGGCGTTCCACAAGGCTGCGAACTATCATCAACGCTGTTTCTTCTGCATATCAATGATACGTTGCAAAACTGTAACATTCATTGCTATGCGAACAACAGCACTGATGATGTTCTATACACCGGCTGTGCCTATATTTCTCAGGAAAACGTTCGCCGAGTATCGTGACAAACTTGTGTCTGAAGTCGAATTTTTGCTGATCAAAGTCTCGGACTGGGGACGACTAAATCATCATCTACTTTTTTTTTTCTTCTTAACTTTCAAGTTTAATCCTCAGAAGACATAAGTTTGCAAGTTAACCTTAAAAAGAACCCCTTTGTTGTATCTCCTCAGTTTCAAGGCACTCCCCTTGTTACCTCTGCCAGTATCGGAATTTTCGGCGTCGATATATCAAATAGTGTGCAGTTTCGTGATCACTTAGAAGAGAAGGCCAAATTGGTCTCTAAAAAGCTTGGCGTGCTCAGCAGAGCGGGCCAGTATTTTATGCCGGCACACCGCCTGCAACTTTACAAGGTGCAGGTTCGGCCTCCTTGGCTCACCACTGTACTTTTAACTAAGAGTTTTGTTCCACGTACGACCTCTCTGTGGAATACTTTACCACCAGCGATTTTTCCGGACCGACACGACTTCGCGACCTTCAAGAAAAGAGCTTACTCCTTTCTTAAAGGCAGGCACCGCACCTGCAATTCCCCTGGTGTTGCAGTTGTTCATGGGCGGCGGTAGTCACTTAATATCAGGTGTGCTATATACTCGTTTGCGCCCTCTCGTGTAAAAAACGCGCAACATGTGGCCGCGCACACACACGCACGGACACTCACTCACTCACTCACACGCACGCATACGCACACTCACATATTCACACACCAAAACGCAGCAGATATAACCACACACGCGTACTGTGGTCAATATGCACATGCGCATAATGTCATACATACATACTCTCACACTCAAAAGTGCATTATAATCTCCCATTATATCTAATCTAGTACCTTATGTACGACGGATTACTTTCATGGCCTCTGCCAGTTGTAGAAACACTAATTATAAATCTTGCTTTTTTGACACCAGCAGTAGAAACGACTCTTACTTATCGTACTGATATGGAATTTATCAAACCTACCTATTATATATAATATTTTAAAATTAACTTGCTGTTATAGACCTATTTTGACCAATATTTTTTATTAAAAAATAATCTCCTATTACATATTTCCTACTGTTCTTTTCTTGCTCATATTTTAACTGATAATCCTTACCTAACACTCTTTTTAAATTATAATTCTTTCTTTGTTTATAACACATGTCTTTAATTTTCAGTGTTAATCTTCTATAAATAATCAACCAGCATTTTAATTAATATTCAGGGTAAGGAAACCGATTTCAGAGTGGGTTGTGTGTTGTCCCAATTTAATTTATTAACATCATACCACAAATGCGTACTAAAACATACGAGGTGTGTGGTTTTCAGTTATGTAAGCAAGGTTTATGGCCGTCGCACATCGTGATGTCTCAATGCCTCATTTGAGTCAAAGTAATGTATAGATTTCACGTGAGCTTTATTTCGTCTCACGTATAGTTGTCATTTTGTCTAAATTTAAAAAGTAGACGTATGACGCCTTATTTGCGCGTTATCCACGTTTTGTTCACTTTAAACTATCCATCTTATAGATGACCTGTTTGCTACACGTTATCTATTCGTCGGCCGCAAGTTGACAGCGCGTTATGTCTGACTGTATACAAAAAAAAATCCAAACCGAGAGTGCGATGGCCATAACTTTATCTTTTTAATTTCAATCGAATGATGTTAATCTTGAATATTGATTACAGCTCACGATGTCTCGATTGCGACCGAAGGCAACGTCGCCGACGAGGGTACCGCTGTACGCACGCACAAAGACAAAGGTGACCGACGAACGTAAAGAAAACACGTATGCGGGGGCGAAGAGCGACACCGAACGAAAACGAAGTTCACCGATCCTCGCATCGCGCTCCGGACACGATATCATTAACGTAAACGTAAACGTGAAATACGTTAAAAAATCCGAGCCTGTTAAAACGTCACGAACGAAATACTTGACTGAAAACGAACCGAAACCAAAGACTCTATCCACCAAAAGGCGTAATATATTGGCGATACGTAAGCCGAACTCGAGCAAAAGTCAAGCAGGCGTCGTGAAAGCCAAAGTGAGTAGACGTTCGGCTGATGATACGGAAAGTTCCCGCTCAGGTAAAGTATCGGCAAAGTTAGCCAAGCGAAACTTAGCCCGGTCGATACGTGGGACGGTGACGAGATCCGGAAGCAACCGTTGCAGGCCAATAGCGTCTTCGTCCTCTGAGGATATAGGTGGAAACTGGGAGGACATAGCCGGAGGCACAGTTTTGGGATCGCAGAGTGGTATATCCCATCCGGAGTCGATTGCGATGTCGGGTAAGCGAAGGTCTTTTCCTAACCCGTCGCCGTCGCATTTGAAGAAGATACGGTTAAAGACTGCCATGTAGCGCAAACCGCGCGCCAGGCCCGCACCCGCATCGCACGCGAATTGATTATGTGATGGGCCACAAATATTTCCATATACAATATACTTTTTTTGTCAATTGTTATCAGTGTTCGTTCTAACTGAACAAAGTAACATTGTTTAATAAATAAATTCGGGCTATAGATAATTTGTAAAAAAGCACTACAGGCATTTATTATCGTGAACTACGGAAGTTAAATTTGATGACGAACCTCAGTTCGTTAGTCAGTTTAGTATAAATACATAATATTTTAACTCGGGATGTGAGTCTGGTGTTATAAAATGGTTGATGTTGTGACGTCGCAGCTAATTTGATGGTTAAACGCGTATTGTAATAATACATTTGATTTTTAATAAAAAATGTTTAATTTACTAGAAATTTGAAAAAAAAATGTAACATTATGTTAAGACTGTTTTTTTTTAATAGGGCTGCATATAGATATTAAAGGTATGCAGGCAAACGGAAATGTACTTTATAGCAAATTATGTTAACATATTTTTGTTATTCTAACTATATTAAGTACGCCTTTTTGTATTTTGGTACGGTATAGTACGTACTAGATTATCTGAAGTCCGGTCACTTGCCATACTAAAACCTAAATTTTATGGTTTTTGTGAATAGTTTTTAATGTATTTAATTTTTTCTCTATAATATTACTAACTTTCATAATATCATCCATAATTTTGTTAGTGTTAGCTCGTATATTGCAATATGCCAATTAAATAACATTACTATTAGCAGAGGACACCGAATAGACTTTGATGTAAATTTTTGTAACTTCTTGATTATTTGTAATATAAGACACTTTGGAGATCTTTAATTGAATAGAAAGTTTGAAGTGAAATTAATGTTATACACTTAGGGTTTAAGGTAACGTAGAAATTTTTAAAGAATACATATTTATCAGCAAATGTAAATTGTAAAGTGTAATCAAACACGTAGAGTAGCGCTCAAGGAGCAGTTTTTGATATACCTATTGATCTCATGTAAGTTTTTGCGGGGTGATTTTAATTGGGCGCCTGTTAGTTTTTGTCACAAACTAGATTTTTTTATTCTAATTCTAATTAGACTTGTAACGTTGAATATATGAGTTCTATTCATAATGTAATTAAGTAAAATTTTCTGAATGTTTCAACTACCCTCGAACGTTCAACTGTGCAATAACTTAGACGTACTATGTAGTTAAAGCAATTTATTTGATTCTGTTCTAAACGATTACATATGAATGTAATCCGAAATTTTTGAATATGTAACATGAGTCATGTTTAACATATTATGTATAATACAAAATAGTTAACTATTTATTTATCGAATATATTAATATATAACGAAATAACAACATTCAATGTTTCACAGAATTATTGTCTTATTTTAATGTTTGCCCATCTCCTTTTCTCTGCCGACCGTTTCATAACCTTTCTGTGTGACAAGTTTGAAGGATCTGACGTATTCGCCACGTTGAGCAGGGTACACACCTTGCACTAAAGTAGTGATTATATTATTTTTGTCTTGCACCGTTTTATATGAGAGGGGGACAAACGTACATGCGGTTCCCCTCACAGTGACTCTCACCGCCCATGAATAACTACATCAGGGGAAATGCAGCTGCGTTTCCGGCCATTTAAAAATGAGGAGCCCATAATGATTTAGATTTAGGAGCGCACATTTTCCGCGGGAGTTCTTTCGTGAAACGGACTATATAGTTATATGAGTTATTGAATTCAAATGACGGGCATGCTTGTTTCCTCAATTCTTTTTTTGATAAAATTGTTTAACCGAAAGCGAATACACTACATAACTAAATTTAACAATCGAAAATTGTATAACACCTACGGTATGAAAAGAAAGCATTTAGGGTACCTAAATGTATTTCTTTTTTGTAATAATAAAAAATGATTTTGTTCTATAAACGTTTTTAACTTAGTATTTAAATAATGTTAATACATGATGAGTATTATAATACCCGAAATTATTTTATTCCCAATTTCGTCGCCAACTCCCTAGCATACACGCCACCCACGTAAATACTTAAACGGGCATCAAAGACGTTTTAAAATTGTTAGGTCTTTAAACTGTGATATTATGGTTTTCGAATTACCAAGCAGTGCGGTGCGGCGTTGACCAGTGCCATAATTCGTTCATACAAATAGCCGCAGTGAGTGCGTGGTCCGACACGTGACGAACCACCGGGTACGGGCGGGCGTATATAACGTAGGACACGTTTTTATGCTTATTTTTCTAACAATAAATATCCTATTCTTTTGAGTATTAAGCAGAGCCTAAGAGCGATTATCTGCCGCCGTCGTCTCCAGTACGTCAACGAGAACGAGATGACGGCACCGAGGTAGCTATACACACATTTACTTTAGCCGCCTGTCTACCACAAGCACGTTGCCCGAGCGCCTTCATCCCGGTCGCCGAAGTTTATAGTAGATCGACGTGACGGCTAGAACTCGACCCGAGATTGTGACGGGTCGATGAACCGGCAATACAAAACACATTTAACACATTCATCACCCCTACGATTTTCATGATGTCTTCTCGGATTCCGCCTACATTTTACGGTTGACTCGCCAGGCGAGTCGCCGGCACTGCAATATAAATTGATCGACTCGCCACGCGAGTTCACTGGCACTACGTAAGGGTAAATTCTATATTTTGTAATTTTTGTGGCCGTCACAGTGTACTTAACGTGTTTACGCAATTAAAAAGTGTTTCCGGACTATTCGGCTTGTAAAAATGGCAAAAAAACTCTTTGGATAAAATAAAAGGTAAGTTTGTTTCGTAATTTGAGCAGTGGTTGTCAACCTTTTTAAATTGTGGTTATTGTTAAGATTATATTTTGAATTTCTAATACTTGTGAATAGACAATTTTACCCTGAAATAATTTAATACGGGCTTTCAGTTTTAAGAATATGGTATCAGATTAAAATGTATTATTTTGGGTCGGCTTTAGTAATCTGCTGCACGATTTAAGTGACTATTTTAGCTTTAGTTGACAGGAAATGATGCTATTGATTACCATTTAGCTGCTTTTTATACCGGAAATCTTTATTTTTCGAGATATCGATAGTTAAAGTGAGGTTATATCGAGTTGGCTAGACATCCGGTACTTGATTTTGATTAATTAAATTACATATAACGAAACGCAAATATTATGTCAGTTTGTTTTTTTAACACAGATACACTCATAAAAAAGTTAATCACTCAGACCCAAACAATCCATTTGTGGCTAGAGACGGGACTCATATACAACAAATTGAGTTGCAGTGGAGAGTAGTCAAGAGGTTTATCAGAAAACCAAATTATAACAATTCACATTACATTATTCCATTCACCACTCTAGTAGCAGAGCTAGTAGAGAGAGCAACTAGACTTTATAGATAAAATAGGTCCGGTAATCGTAAGTAAAGGTATAGTCGAAACAGCACTCAAACAAGTCCAGTAATCGCAAGCCAAGGTAATCAAAACACGGGAGCCCAATAAACGTAAGCCAGGTCACAAAGGTAGAGAACAGATAAACGCATGCGATGACGAAAGGGTCGTACAGAGCACTGATACTGAAAACAAAGTTTACAGAAGTTTAGAGTAGGCAACGACGTCACAAATAGGAATACAATGGACGAAATATTTAGTTGCAAGTGCATTCTTGGAGTGCGATTTAACATTAGCCAATGAGAGCTTTGTAAAAAACAATTATATCAGTGCTTTTGTTCTTCAATTACAACGGCGCGCCGGTGTTTTTTGTCGGTTTTATCAATGCCGACCCTTTTTTTTATTTATTTTCAACCCTATTACAAAGATACAAGATTTATAATATGGCTGCTAGATATGTTATCTCAAATATTACGATAACTTTGTATTTCTAAAGCTTGTTTTTAAAAAAAATAATGTCTTGATAGTTCTTCCTAGGACAGAGGCTTTATTCCAAACTGGTGGTATATCAATACGTAATCAAACAAGAGTGACTTTCGATAAGTAACACATAAACACTCACGCCTGTCACCCAGAGAGGTAGGCAGAGACTACGGACTTCCATTTGGCACGACCCTAATTATTCTAATGAAACTAGTTTTTTGTATATTAGTTCCATATCACAAGTATGTAGGTAGTCCATGCTACTATGTTCACGTTGTTGTGTAACATGTCAAAAGTTGAGGATCTATGTCAGGGAACTCGTCTAGCGAGTTCAAGGCACTGCAGAATAGTTTGTTTCCTTTCAAATTTAAACGGGGTCTCCACACACGGCCCACCACGTAAATCTTTAGTTTAGCATATATTTAGTCTAAACTATAATTTTAAGCAGAAAATACGGATGCATTTTGGAAATATTAGTGAAAAACACTGAACTCGCCAGACGAGTCGTCGGCACTGGAATAAGATTTACGTGAACTCTCCGGGCGAGTCGGTGGCACTGAATGTGTTAAACTTGTCCATCCACACCCGCGTCGTGATGTCGCACCACGCCGACGTACGACAGCTACAACTAACTTACTGAATCACCGAGATCATCGCGGTGGACAAACGATCGCCGTCACGTCATCTTGATCTCGGCCAAAAATAATCTCGTTCTCGTAAGATCTCGGTGACGGAGGCGGTGAACAAACGCCGTAATGGCCAAGTGCGGACCGCGAACTCTGAAAGGTCGTGGATTCGAATCCGCCATTCGACTACAATCGTAAACCACTCCTAACACAGGCATTTTAAGCTTACCAGGAGTTTACAGGGAATATTAGTAATATGAATAACATATGCTAGATTTTTTTTAGTAATAAACAAAAGAAAGATGTAAGCTAATTTCTTTTAGCATCAGCAGTCTAAATAGCGTCAAACTAGAATATACTGATTTATATACCTTGCCCAGCTAAGATCTTTTTTCAGTCCAATCTTTGAGTGACATTTATTTTTATAAGGGACTTAAAAAATACATTATATACTGTAAACTATTTATTGCAGTCCACAGTTTGCTTAAACTAAAAAATTACAGCCTGCGCCCTCTACGACCACCCTTCCTGCGCGTAGAGTCTGATGGCACTGGAGTAACATCCTCGATACGGCCTATTTTCATGCTGGAACGGGCCAGGGCACGGAGGGCGGATTGAGCACCTGGTCCTGGGGTCTTGGTCTTGTTACCACCTGTGGCACGTAGTTTGATGTGCAGAGCTGTGATTCCAAGAGTCTTGCATTTCTCTGCAACATCCTGAAAAAGCATTATGAATTATTACATAAAATAATTGCAACATAATTTACATAAAACAAAATTACTTTCAGCTTGTAGAAGTCCACAGGTTTTTTTAATAATATTAGTGAGGCAAATGAGCAAGCGGATCACCTGATGGTGACTACCGCCGCCCATGAACTTTTGCCAACATCAAGGAAATTTCAGATGAGTTGCCCGACCTTTTAAAAAGAGTAGGCTCTTTCATGAAGGTCCCTAAGTCATATCAGTATTCCGGTTGGACATTAGCCTCTCCAGTTAATGGGAGTGTTTTCCTAAATCGCCTTTCTTGGCAAAAAGAGGGTCAATTGCAGACGTCTTACATCTTTGATGCTACTCCCTGTCGCTGGTTTGGGTATTTCATTATATTTCATTGGGCAACTAATGCAACCAAAATAGATTTACATTCCTGCATTCCATTTTCATAGTTGCCGTTTCCGACTTTATGTCAGGTAGTATGATTGCCCAAATGTAATCTCATTAAAAAAAAAAAGTAATAAATGAACCCACAAACTAATCTTTTACACATCAACACAGCAAAAACTAGTGAACTATTAACAATGGTATCAGAATAGGTATGTAATTTGATGCCTAGCGAAGAGGAATAGTTAAGGGCCTGCACATTCGAATATGTCTATTAAACATTTCAATTACAGTGTAAACTCTATGCAACAACACTCAAGGGACTGTGAATTATTTGACGTTATAGAGTTGTCATTAAATGGAACGAAGAAAAGAATTCACACAGCTGTGGTTTTATTATTTACTTTTTTATTATGTACTTTTTTTTATTTAATTGGTGTCGTTATTTAGAGTAGGTGTAATGCTATAAAGAGTGTATCATTGTATGGAAAACAAGCTAAAACAACCAAAGCCAAGTGATTTCGGCGCTTTAAGGGGTTTGTCGTTAAATTGAGTGTGTATTTCAGAATATTGACATATACAAAAAAATATATCTATTTAATAAAGCATAACTATATAGTTTCAAAAATAATCTATTTAGCATTTTAATTGAAATGAAGGAAATATATGTTACCACTAGAACTGAAGTGCCGACACGACTAGGTTTAGCCGGCTACAACTAGTGGCAACTGAATATGGTAGGTTAAAATTTAGTGTATTTGATTTATTCATGGTCAGTACGGGTAATGCAAGAAAGAAAACATAACATTAGATTTTCCTAGTATATGTAGAACTATCCATGTTTTGGTTAAATTAAGGATAAGAGAGTAATTGCCAAAAAACTAGTAAACCTACCTTACCCGGCTCTGAATAACAACGAGGTGATGCTGCAGTACATTAACTTTATACTGATCAACCAATTGCCATGAAAATCAGTATTCACCAGACAATATCACAAAAATGTTATTAATATTGTACTCATTTTCCCCTTTCTAGTTTTGTTTTGTGTCCTAATATGTGTTTTTATTAGTAACTAGTATGTACTGTATTGCACTTCTCACAAAATGTATGATATCACTCTGCCTAATGTCAAAGATCACGCTACTGCAAAGATTTAATCCAGCAAGCAGATAAGATAAGCAGATAAAGGGTGTAGAGGACTCTAGGTTTTTGTTTGGGAGTCCTGCTACTCCTAATGCATGCAAACATCTGACACTTAATTTCAAATTCCTTTTATATCTTTTGTCACTTAATTTTTCAATTTTATTGTTATAATTCATAATCACATTTTATTCGGTGCATTCTCATTCTATATGCAGTATAGGCACAAGGAAACACCGATGTTATACACAAAGCTTTCTTGCATCACTCATGAAAGTACCAGCTTTCTTGCAGCACTCATGAAAGTACCGTAGCATAATTATCAATTGTTTTATAGAAATAATCCCAATTTAATAATTCTAATACTATAATTTGTTTTAATACAATGCTTATATTTAACCATTTTTATTTTGACTTCGATTCCTTTTGATGACTATTTTGCAATGCCCTCACAATATCTTATAAATGTTGTTCATGTATTTTTCTCCACCAACATTAACCAAAGGTTGCCAATTTAAAGTTTTACACCGAATGCTGTTTCAAACTCTCATCTCTATTTACCAAAAATGGGACACTTGAGAATTACGTGCAGCACTGTTTCCTCAACTCCTGGTTCACAGATACATGATGATGCTTACATTTGAATCGGTACAAGTACTCTGAGAACCCACCATGCCCAGTCATGACCTGTGTCATTGTAGGAGACAGTGCTGCTTCCCTAACAAACTTATATGCATTTATAGCATTTGGGAGAAAGACCTTAGTTATTTTACATGTATCGCCTTCTGTATATTTCTGGTTTTATTTTTATTCACAATGCAGCTTGTTTCACCAACTTGGCCCGCTCATTTCCCGTCAGACCCGAATGGGCTTTTATCCAGAACAATTGGATACTTTTTTGTTGTAGAAATTTGGAATGTAACGAGCATTTGACAGTGTTTATTTTTGACGCTCTATAATGATAAATGTTTTAATGATTTCATGATTTTTTTATTAATAATGTAAAGCTATTCAAATACCCATTTCAAACATACCAATATTTATATAAATATAATTAGTTACTAGCCATTACAGCCATTTTTCGTGCAAACTCAGAGAGGTGCGATTTTTGTGACGCCGAGTGTATAACTGTATAACACATGTGTATAACACATATTTATACATATATGTATATATATAATACAAATAACTATAAGCATTTGTTTTAATTATGACCACGACAATGTTATTAATGGTGAGAGCCGGACACTGAGTAACATCGATTTTGTTATCAAAGACAGCAATTGCCGCCTTTAACACTCCCTCTGTCTGAGCACTTTGAATTATGCGTGCTCCATGATAGTCCTTCATATATCCGACTCCTCCACATATGGTTCCTGGTTAGGGGCAAAACCCATCCCTCCCTTACTTGCTTCGAAAATTAATTCGCTTGTTGCGAGCTTCTTTCTCTGGAGATTTGCTTTGTACTACTAGGATAGGTTTCACCCCCGCTCCAACCTGTCTTTCTAACTATCTGCATTTGTTATAAGGCATTGCTTAAAGTGACACAAATTCCAGTCCTCAGGGGCAAAAATGCATCTGCATTTTGATTCTTAATCAGGGATAGATGTAAATGTCTATAGACCACTGCATCCACTTATCAACAGTGCAGCTGTATGCTCATTTGTCACGCTTATTCTTAAAAAAAAATTACCGCTTCCTTTTCTAGGTTTTAAAATTTTAGTGGGTATTCCATCATCTTACTTTTTTATATAAATAAGTGTATTGAAATTATTTAGAATAAAATTATAAATAGTTTTCAACTTCAAATCTAAATCATCAATGCCATGCAAAATGAAACAGCTAAGAAAAAACAATATTTCAATCACTTTTTCACTGCAATATATACACAATATTTGCTAATTACTCAAGCCCCATCAAGTATGCACAGGCAGTTTGTAATTAGTAACTAAAAAAAAATATAAAACAAAACTTAATAGATTAGCTCTCACTTCTTGATACTATTTAGTTTTATATCAAGGAAAACCCTATAGGTGTCTCCTTGAATCATATGGGCTTTTGTATACTTTTTGCCTCATGTGTAGAGACATTTCAAAATCAAAGCTAATTCCAAGCGTAGAATGATTTTCATAGAAAAAATTAGTAAAAATCATGTCACAAAAGAGACAAACCTGTGCAGCTAACATAGCCGCGTACGGTGAAGCTTCATCACGATCAGCCTTTACTTTCATGCCACCTGTGACCCTGGCGATGGTTTCTCGACCGGATAAGTCGGTAACATGTACGAATGTGTCATTAAACGAAGCGAATATGTGAGCTACGCCGAAAACTGTTTCACCCGCCAAGTGCTGGGGGCCCAGGGTCACCTGGACCTCTTCTTTGGCAACTTTGTTTTTCCTTGGAGCCATGTCTTAGCCTGCAAATGACAACACCTTTGCAGCGCCAATTTTTAACCTTAAAAAATCTATACAATCCGGGCACTAATTGTCAAGAAAAACATCCAGATTAGGAAACTAATATTGCCCTGTTAAATAAATTATGTATTCCCGTTATAAATACATATTTAACAAACTTTTAAAACAAAATCGCTTATATACCTTAAGCTTTGAAAGCTGTCAAACTCTAAAAAGACTACCGGATACAAGTGTTTCCATTAGCAGGAGCTGTCAATTGTGACTTTCAGCAATTATGGCGAAAAAACATATTTTTTTTTTGTTTGATGTAATATTATATGAATAAGGGGTATTCTGTGCTTTCAGTTTATACAAAGGTACTCTAATACTACTTACATTTTTAATACTAAAATGTACAACTTACATTTAACGGTGTAAAAATTGCTCTATAATATGCATTTTTAATAATAAATAAATATAATACATACTAATAATAAATAATATACTACATAGAAAAATGAATTATAATTAGTTATATCAAGACAAATTTACTTTAAACATTTCAATTTCAAATAATAAATTGCACCACCACGTATACATGGCAGTTTATCAAACACAATCATCACTTGCAAATTAAAACTAATCTTGCGCGGGATTCCTTTCAGTTTGAATGAACCTTCCTGGTTCCTATGCCTTATTATAATATATAAATATTTTTACAGGCTGTAAAGGACAGTTATCATACTCTTTGAATAATACTTTATGCCTATTGCCTACGCCCTAGACAGAGAAATCTATAGACAAATTGACGCCTTTTTTTGCATTCGCACACGAAAAAGATAGATTTATGCATATGTCTTGCATAGAAATGAGATAGAGCGGTGTGATTGTTTGTCTCTTTCTCCGTGCCGGTTTTTTCGTTTAGAGAACTACACTTTGCTAAACAACTTTGACAGTTCGTAGCGATCTAAGGAGTTTACAAGTTGGTTTAAGTAAGAAAAAAAGTGTTTAGTGAGCTTAAGATTGGTGAATCTTGTTCAGTTCAGTTCTTAGAACAACTAAAAACTTTAAAAATGGTTAGGTGTAGTGTCTTAGGATGTAAAAGTTATATTGAACGTAAACTAACCGGTATATTATTTCACTCGTAAGTATAGTACATTTTATCTGGTATTACGTATAAAATTTAATTGTTATTTTAAATATCGTTACAGAACTATATAAATATACGTTTAAATTTTATCTAAATATGTTTAAAAGTCGTAAAGATTATTGAATAGCCTAAAACGAAGTTGAAAATCTCTTTATCGTCCTTTCTCACTCGAGGCCACGTTAATCATTAGTCTATAGGTTTTTCTGTCTACGTTTATTATTATAGTCCGTACGGATAAAGAATGGAATTAGAAATAGCGGCTCATCGAGCCTGTATGTATCAATATGCACAGTACTTATAGGAAAAATTTGCAAATAACGATATATTGTTATATTATTCGGTTAATCGGAAATTTTCTTTTAATGGGAAAATATTTGAATAAACTTTTACACGCAAATAGGTATATTAACTTTAAAATAAACGTATAACTAGCGATATTTTATCTTATCAATATTTCTAATAAAATGATAAGTCCAGATCACTTCTGGTATTACTCACTATTTGTTCATGAAGTTTTATTGCAATCGGTTCAGCCATTCCGTAGATTAGCTAGGACAAACAGACAAACAAAATTTTTAAAAATTATTACTTATGTCTCAATGACATGTAAATATTTTATACAAAAATGTTAACACACATATTTTATACAAAATCAACAATAATTATGAAAAAACGTACTCTCAGAACGTGTCGTAGTTAACAAATTAGCACACCCGGACTGAATTCATTCCAATGTCAAGTTGGACTAAATTTATAGAACGTACGAAAAACGTATATATTGCAACGTATTTTTTGCAGTCTTTACGGGCGGGTGTGAGTATAGAAAGTGACAGTATACGAGCGAGAGGTGAATAAAGGCCGCGTCATTTTTAATCCCATTCCTTAAACCGCACGTGTATTTTTTTCATAGCTTATGATTTATACTCGCTCTTCACTTAGTTGGCAAATCGCGCTCGACTATTACCTGTGCGCATGATCTCATTTCGAGAAAACTAGTGAAAACACAGAGAAAAACCAAGGCCTATGGATGTTTTGATCTTGTCCTAACAAATTCGCATTTGTGTCTCATAGGGTTCGCACGTTTGAAGGAGATCGACGTCAAAAAGCGACTCTAGTCTCTTTTAGTATGTTTAGTTATGTGGGTATTACAGTGCTTTAAAAGTCCACAGCTGAACATAGGCCTCCCTATATTGTCTCATAGAATAAATAACTGCCATAAACGAAGCAACATGCGTGAAAGGTATGATGTCGAAAGCGCTGCAACCCATCTTCTGGTTCTGGTAAGTTTCCCCCTGTCGTCTCCTACAACATCCAGGGAGCAATAAGGGGTAGAGGATATTCTTACACCGCAATTATACGGTCATTATATGCATTAGCACATTGTGGTATTATATTTATGAATAACGTAACAAGGAGAAATGAAATCAGTAGGAGAAAATACATAACATAATTTAATAATTATATAATTTTCAAAAATGTATTTAAATATATTTAAGATTATATTATTCTTAATATTGATTTTAGGTGCATTGTCACTACATAACTTTAAATAACTGATATTTCATTTAAGCTTCTTTCCATTATCAATAAATATTAATATACATAGTTGTAATTACTGTCACAGAGCGCAGTAGTATTTTGAACTTGCATAGCATCGATTATGCTTAGAAGTTGCAAATACAAGTTTGCAATATGTTCGATCTTTGCGCTTCTCTTGACTTAATAATCTAACAAGTTCGTGCTAAATTCAACGAAATTCGGGGAACAATGCACGAAGGTATGAATCGAGTGGTATTCATGGGCTAAGTGTGGGAGGGGCACTATATGCACTTTTATAATAATTTACATTTTAACATTAAAGGAAAATATTAGAATACAACATCAAAGCAGTCTGTATACAGTGATCTATTATAAGTAATAAAACGATACTTTGTTTAGAATAAGACGCGCTTTAATAAAGTGCCATATTTTTAAAGGCAAACAATTCATGAATTTATCATGAATTAGGATAGTGGAGGGAAAAAGTCACGATAAAACGACAAACATACAAGTAGGTATAAGTTATAATTATTTACTTAATACTTATTCACATATAGTAAAAAACTAAGAAAAAGCTTTTGGTAAATGCTCATAATATTATACCGCTATACGTCAATATTTTAAAGTATTTTAAACACGTACAAGTTTGTGCAAATGACCACCTAATTAATATTCTAGATTTCCGATAATTTTATGCCAAACGTCAATAAAAAAAGTTTGGAAAATTCAAAAGTGAGAATGAAATCCAGAAGTGCTAGCATATAGTACACCGAATAATAATTTTTGGTGCAGTCGGAGAAAGGTAATGTATTTAGTTTATTAAACTGTTTTAACTAGAGACGCAATATAGTCTGTTTACTAAGATAGTGTCGGTACACCCGAAGGCGCACATATTATTTTGGTTTTATTTTGTTGGTTCTTACTGCAATAATTTTTTTTCTATTCTTAGAATAACATACAATATTATTTTACTCTTATGGTTATTGTAATAAAATACGAATATAATTAATAAAGAAAAGTGAGGTAGAATAGAACGTTCTACTAGGATGCTTCATTTCAAAATGCCAAATTCTCCTGTAGCAGATCTCAGATGATTATCGGCGATTTGTGAAGAACTTTGCAGATATGGCCAAATCTCTGCACAAGCTAACTGAAGGGAAGCGACTTTCTGCTGGGATGAAAGTTGCGGTATCGCATTCCAGGAGCTCAAGGACTGCCTGTGCAAATACAGGCAAAGAATTTATAGTTGACACTGACGCATGAAATATAGGACTTGGCGGTGTGTTGTCTCAACGGAATGGTGATCAAGAGGTTTTGACAGCGTACTTCGAAATTGGAGTGTCATGATCTTTACGCTCCTATTTTTGCTACTTGATACTAGATGGCACTAATAATCATCCGCCATATACCAGGCATTAATTATGGCGCGCAACAGTAGTATTTATCCTAGGTAATAGGTTGTCGGCCAAATAGGTGTCCACTTCTTTTATGGATTTCGATAACGGAGCGACTGTGGTAGAAGGTGTCCCTATTATTTGATCAAAATTTTCTCATGGACTGAATTCTATCATAGTTGTTGTCGATTCATTTTGATTTGAAGTTTGGACCAGTGTTGCAGCATCAGTTTTGAATATTTCGGAGGCGACGAGTGTTCGTAGTCTATCTTTTGTTGTGACAGCTTCAGCGTGGTCTGCAAATCCCTGCATCTTAAATCAGGGGCCCAAGAAAATACATAAACTAAATGTGCCACTTTGCGCTATCCCTTTGAATCTGTCTCATAAACCTGATTTTAACAATGAAAGTATATCATAGACTTCCTTTCTATCATATTTTCTTACAAGAGTCTGTCAGGCAACGTCTCATTATTATTACATAGTCGCCCGTCAAATATTTATGGCCCCTCGTGGTTCTTGTCACCTCTTCGAATGGTTCCAACATCTGACATAACTGTTGGTAAGGGGTCCAATTTTCCGAAGTGATCATCGGCAAGCCTTTGTCTGCTAGCGCCATTGTCAATATAACTGCTTCTTTAATTCAAATTATTCTCTTAAACATTATATATTTCGAGTTTCACCTCGTCTCGACCTCTGGTCGGTCGTTTAGGAATTTTATTTGGAACAGAAGAAACTAAGTTTTTTTTATGTGAGTCACAATTCGCTTTATGTTGTCTATTTGTCTTTTGCAAATTTTATTTGCATCCTCCACTATTAACTGTTTCTTTTTAAGATGACTTCTCAAGATAGATATTGTGGATTTGTTACAAATATTTTCTTAAAATAAGTTGCATATGGCTTTATCACCAACGTTTTCCTTTTTAAAGTGGTGCCACAAAAAACTTGAATTTCTACGTACCGTTGACATAATGTCCAAGTTTTGTCACAAAACACTATTAACGTAAAATGCCAACCCAATAGATATTATTTTAAGGTCAAACTTAAACTTAAAAGCTAAAAAGAAAATTAAACTTAAAAACACACGTCCTCGACTCGTAATGCGAAAAAAAAACAATTGCTACGAATTTTAGCCTTGAGCGACACTCACGGATTGTTTACACACACATACTAAATACAAAATCATAGCAAATAACAAATTAACTTTCTTTACTTGCTCACGCTCACACACACACGCATTAGACTGCGTCCGATGCGTTGACGTGATGGTGTTCGGTAACCTCCGGAAGTAATGAATATTTCTGAAGGAGACTTAATTCACAGAAATTAATAAAATAATATTGAAATAATTCGTTGAGTGCGTTGACGTAAATTGACAGCTAATATTTTCAACCTGTTTTTTAATTAATGAATAACAGTTAATATATTGACGAATGAAAATCCCTTAAAAAACCGTTTATTGATTCAACGACGACATCTAGGTGCGACACAAAGACGACCGTATCTAGGCGAATGTACAGACTACAGTTAGCGACCGCTGAACAAGTTCTTAAAGTGGCCTTAACTAATCTTTGATCGCATAATGTATGCTCTAAGTCGCAACCTCAAACCTGCAAGTCATGGAGTATAGAGGTAAGGAGGACAATCTCCCATAGGAGAATAGTTGAAAACGTAGACAGATAATCCTAGGATTCTCTGTCTACGGTTGAAAATGTGTCCATCCATAAGCAGTAAATAACAGTTCCAAAACTCTCCACAACAGCGCTCGAGTGGCTACAGAGAATGATAAATCACCGTAAAATACGTTGCGAGTGATTTTGAAAATATTATTATAAAAGGAATTAAGGTGAAAGTCTGAGCAATAAAAAAATTATAAAAAGTTCTTTAAAATTTATACTGTAGCTATAGTGGTGCCACCCTTATTTAGCGCTTTTCTAGGGACACTTTTTATAGAGAGTCTGTACTTCTTACCTCTACACTCCATACTGTAAGCAACATGGAGGTTAGAGAACAGGAGAACGATCGCTACGTGCTAAAGCATAGTCCGCCTGTCAAATTTGTAGAATTTATAGCTGCGCTGCCGTTGTAAGTACCTAGTATCTGTGAAGTAATTTTTTAATTATTGACAAAAAGAAACATTATAAAATGGTGAAATATTATTTTAAAAAAATCAATAATAATTAATAGAAATAATAAATTATATTATTAAATTTTGTATAATAATAAAATTAATAATTAATTTTATTATTATACAAGATTTGTAATAATTTATAATATTTATAATAATTAAAATTATAAAAAACATAATTTATAATTTGTTATAAATTATTGTAAATATTTATATTAATATGTTGTTGTTAATAAATAATAAGTTCGGAGGCCTATGTTCAGCAGTGGACTTGTGAAGGGCTGTGATGATGATGATGAATAAATAATAATAATAAAACTTCTCCGCCACTTGGATAGACTACAGAAAGGCATTCGACTCGGTGCCCCATACATGGCTAAAAAGAGTCCTCGAGCTGTACAAGATTGACTGTACAGTTAGAGATTTCCTCGGGCAGTGTATGGGGCAGTGGAGTACGATCCTTTGTTATGTGGGCGAGCGGATGATGAATGCGGAGGACCACATATGGATAAGGAGGGGTATCTTCCAGGGTGATTGCCTGGGTCCAATCTGGTTCTGCCTCTCTCTGAACCCTCTCAGTACCTTACTGGAGGGCTCCGGGAGGGGATTTCAGCTACGGAAGGGAGGGACAAAAGTGACCCACCTTTTCTATATGGATGACCTCAAGTTATTCGCCTCCAGTCACTCCCATCTTATGGAATTGCTAAATATCACTTGTGAATTTAGCAATTCTATTGGAATGGAGCTGGGGACGGATAAGTGTGTGGTCCTTCATGTAAAAAGGGGACCGTCAACTTAAGGACCCTTTCCGAGGCTGAAACATACCGATACCTGGGTACGTCACATAACATCGGTATCGATGAGGCTGGTATGTAACAGTCAGTTTGCGACGTGTTTTATGCACGCTTGACCAAAGTGCTTAACATCCTTTTTTCCAGTGTGAATAAGACACACGCATATAACGGTTGGAACATGCCTGTGATCATGTGTACCTTTGGCATACTCAGGTTGACTCATACTGAACTTAACGCTCTGGATAGAAAAGCCCGCACTACCATGACGTCCCATAGGATGCATCATTCGTGATCGTCGGTAATGAGGCTGTACTTGCCGCGAAAGCATGGTGGGCGTGGTTTTCTGAGCGCGCTCACCGTGCATAATCGCGAAGTGTGCAGCCTCCGTAATTACTTCCTGGCGAGATAGGATAATCCATTCAATAATGAAGTCATTTCTAGTGATAAAGGGCTTACCCCTCTATCCTTAGCCAACGCGCAATGGCAGGAGCCAGCAGTGCTTAGCATTTCCGATCGGGAGACCGTATGGAAGGAGATGGAGCTTCATGGGTGGTACTACAGGGCTTTACATAAGCCCTTCGTAGATACAGTCGCCTCCCTCAACTGGCTACGTTTCGGTGACCTCTTCGGGGAAATCGAGGGTTTTGTCTGTGCAATACAGGATCAGGTTATTAAGACCAACAACCGCGCGCGTGATCGCGCCAGGCTCTACTGGGACCGGGCCATCATCACAGACAGGACTATTCTTGCGAATCAGCCTGATATTGTGCTGATGGATCGGGCACAATCAAGGATATTTTTGGTCGATGTTATCATTCCGTATGACGAGAACCTCGTGAAAGCCGAAACAGATAAGCAATCAAAATATCTGAATCTGGCTCACGAGGTGACCGACATGTGGGATGGTCTGCCGACCGAAATTATTCCTTTAGTCATGTCTGCAAACGGGTTAATCCCATCCAGCCTCTCGGGTCATTTGAGGCGGCTGGGACTCCGTGACGGACTGCTCCGGGGTCAAATGCAGAAGGTGGTGCTGCTCGATACCGCCCGCATCATCCGCCGGTTTCTTTCGCTTTCCCCCTAACCATTGGCCATTTGGTTTTCCCTGCCAAGGGCTTCCATCTGGTTGGGATTTTATTTATTTATGTATTATTTATTTAATTATGTTAGTATATTAAATATATAGCATTTATTTATTTTATTATTTCTTTATTCTATCATTCTCTATTCATCCAGCCCAACCGGATGTGAATACTCTATCAATAATAATAATTTCGTTATTTTCTTTTTTTTCTTTGAATGATATTATAATCATTTCAAACTAGCGCACAACAGCCCGCTTTTATTGAGACAAATAAGCGATCGCAGCGCCCCACTTATTTTGTCCATATTTCTGGGACACTATTTTCTACAGCTATCGTTCTTCTGTTCTCTAACCACCATTGCAAGCAGTTTACCTCTACACTCCATAAGTGTGTGTGACAATAATTGACAACTTCCGGAAGTAGCGTACGTCATTGCCAACGGAGATTGATGTTTCATCGCATAATCCTTTTCTATTAAAAAAGTCGCTTAAAACGACGAAACTTGTTAATAAGAAGTGCGAAATATTGTGATTAACTTCCTTTAGCATTAGTAAATCTAGTTCCATTTATGTGAGTATATTATTTGTGTTTCTGTGTAATAATAAGTTAAATTTCGACTACGCAAATGACGTCCTGGCCTGTCATTCATGTAACATATTTCACTGAAGAAATATTCCACTACACCTTGAAGAAGTTTCAAGTTCTGTATCTTCCTTGTTGATACATCTAAGGGTTAGTCTAGTGCCAGATGAAACTACGTAATAGATAAAATTGAGATTTGCAAGTCATTACTGTACATTCATGCTTTGTGAAGAAGGTAAAGGAGATGATGTTCTGATATAATAAATACTGTTTCCTACGTTCCAGATTCAAAATGTTTATCTTGGATTGGTTCACTGGCGTCCTTGGATTTTTGGGTGAGTTATGTATTTTTTAAAACTAATGAAAATAAAGCAGTTAATAATAACATTCTCATTCATACTTTTAATCTCTAAACCAAAACTTTGGTTGTGCGTTTAATAGATTTATTTATTAGGACTGGCTATTGACTTTATTTAGTAGTAATCAAATTTTGTTTGCTGCATTATGTTTATATATACATTTTCTTTAACCTTACATGATTTGACTAGTTATATTGATTATCTTTTGAAGTTGATTGTTTCTATGGGTTGGATTTAGAATTGTTTGGCAGAAGTTTGGGGGTGTTTTATATGGTAGAGGTTTGGTTACCAGAAACAGAAAAAGAAGATATTAAACAATACTTGAGTCTACTATTATCAAAAACTGCAGTGTCCATAAAAAATAAAATTGTGTTTTCTATAGTGTATGAATCTCCAGATTAAAATACATATTTTTGTGCATTCAAAATGCAGCTAAAACAGCTATGTCCCATAGAAATTAAAGTTTAAAAATCAGTGTATGTCACAAAAACAGCATTGTCCGCTTGTGCTTGTATCCAAACCAGCATTGTCCTTCACAACCAATCACGGTCGCATAAACAATATGGTGGTTTATAGTGTTTACTGTTAGGTGTATCCTCGTTTATTTTTATTTTTGAGGTGATCAAACAGATTTGTGAGCTCTATATTATAATTATAAATGAACTACGGAATGTTATCCCAAAGTGGTCGACAATAAAGGTGCACAAAAACGCCGAGTTGGTAGTCCTAACTGAAAAAATAACAAGGCCAAAAATGACCAGTGAATATACCAGAGTTACAAAGTTTTCATACTATTCTATACTGTTCTATAAATACTTGTTTGATCTTCTAATGCATGAACTAGACCTATCATCTAATGTAAGTGGGTATAATAATTTCATATTGACGATGAAGTATTAATCTATACAAATAAATGTCTGTAATTTCAAAATAATAGTTTTTTTTACTGAATGTATTTGAAAGTATATGCAGCACTTATAACAAAGAAAAAACAAGAAAAAGTATTTGTAAAAAAAAATGAAAATTCTGCAATGATTGAAACAATTATAATAACACAAGGAGTGACTGTAAAACTTAAAACAGAGACATCAACAATTTGCTTCAGACTCTTTAGGGTGATGATTGGCATAGTTTAGATACCTTGGGATATTTTGCTCAAGTGCTGCCACAACATGTTTCGGTAAATTATGATGATGATCATAGAGACAACAATAACCCTGGAGAGTCGATGTGTGAAGAACAAGAGGAGCTGCCATTATTAATAATTTAGTTTAATAATGTTTTAAATAAACATTAATTTAATAAACATTGGTTTTTCAGGGTTCCATACCCGAAGGGTATTACTATTACTAAGCCTCCACTGTCCGTCCATCCTGCCGTCCGTCTGTCTGTTAGTGGGCTGAATCTCATGATCAGTAATAGGTGGACAGTTGAAATTTTTATAGACTGTATTTGTGTTGCCACTGTAACAAGAAATAATAATAATAAAAAAAATTAAAGGGGAGTTGCCGCCCTCTATTAAAATTGTGTTTTTTGGGATTTTTTTGTTTGATATTAATAATGGCAACAAGTAGACACTTAAAATATAATAAAGTGAGATTATATTTAAAAATTAAAGGGGATTCCCATACAGGAGACGTTTTTTTTTGGAGTTTTTACTCGTTTTTAACGGCATAATAGGGGATTATAATAATGGCAATAAATGCAAATGTCTAATTAACAAAATATACCTACACTACTTCAAACTATTCCATACACTTAGGTATTTAAAAATACCTACATAGTATTAAATCTTTTATCTATATTTTCTATGCACTTGGAGGTTTGTTTTATCTTTAGAAAAAAGTATAGACAATTTTAAATAGTCATATAGGTCATTAAAACCAGTAATGCATGTAAATTACATAATTCAATTTTATACTTTTATTTTTCTATGCAAACTACTCAAGTATCAAAACTTTTTTATCCTGTTACACTGAAATATATATGTTTCAAAATAAGCAATGTCCAACAAACAGATGCAACAGAAACAGCAAATTCCACCTGTGTATTCCAAAACTAGCAATGTTCAAACTGTTTATTTAATTTAATGTACTTAGTTATAAGCAAAACTCCGCAACTTTTAATATTGTGTAACCATTAAAAGATAATCAACTGTCTTTTACAAAATCTACAGGTACCAAACACGTGTGAATAACTCATAATCCTAATATTATGATTTGTGGCTAAAACTGTAAAATGGACATTGTGGTTTTTGATTCTAGTAGTCACTCATTGAGTCAATTTTTTCATTTACCACTGGTTTGCAAAAAAAACCTCTGTCCTGGGAAGAACCAGTAAGAAACCCAGCGGGACTATTTAAACAATTATAACAATACCACTTGCATTAAAAGGTTAATGCACTGTTTTTTAGAAAATAAGTAAAATGTATTATAATCTAAAATGTATAATACATGGCTATGCAATATTACTGTGAAAGCTGGATAGCATACAGAATTTTGTGTAAGTGCGACAAGGACATAGGACTATGTCAAATACCAGTGTCACATTGTTATACTTCTACGATATTTTTATTTTTCTGTGGTCTATCTGTCAAGTGTCAAATCGCATGAGATACTAATTTTTATGCATTCCGCCGTTGGTTGTTATTCTTACGTGAAAGTGTGTTCTCAAGTGTAGTTATTGCGGCTTTTAACATGGTATACTTGAGCATCCAGCAATATTTTCTGTTGAAATAGGTTAGAAGTTTGTGATGGGAGTGAATCGCAGCGTAGCTCCTGTCACAACCTTCGTGGTTTTCTTTTACCACCCAGAAATATTTGAGCACCCAGAAATACTTTCATTTAAAATAGTATAGAAGTTTGTGGTGGGAGCGAAGCGCAGTGTAGCTGACGGAGACGATAAATTTTATCATTTTGAGGTTATGTCTATGGGATATTCTTTTGATTTTTCTCAACAATGATGTATTTATCCTTTGATAGGAGTGGAGTCGAATGTTCTGGGATCCTCGTCCCTTCCCTCTCCTGCCAAACTATTCTTAATTTTAAAAAGGTTGTAATAGTTGTTTTTCCTTTTTCTCGAAAATGGTGCATTACCTTTTAATGCGCGTAGTATTGTTCTTATCAGAGACCAAACCTCTACCAAATAAAACACCTTACTCCTCCAAATTCCTGCCAAACGATTCAAAATCTTAACCATTTCTATTCTTCGAAAGAGATAATCTTTTTTTTACTTTTCATACCGCACAATCACACCTGTCTGCAGAAAGTTTAATAGGTATCTTGTCACTCATTGGCACTAGACTGCTGTATAGACTTTGAGCATCATGTTGGACCAGTAAACTTAAATATGCAACATGTAAATTGCAGGAAATAACCCTGCAGCTACCTTGATAATGATTTGATTTAATTTGATGGTCACATTTAAATTGATTTTATAGTTCAAACTTTTATGATGGACAAATCTGGTTTTGTTAGATTTAATTTATATTATAATTTTCTAAAAGAAAATATAATATAAAGTAATCTTGAAATATTTAAATTACTTTTATTTACATTCTTTAAATTATTTATATTTTTTAAAATCATA